TTTGTGCTTTACAATCTAAAGTTTTTATCTGCTTTAATTTCATCTAACAGTTCTTGGAGAAAAGTTCTTTATGATCTAAATTAACTTTCAGCTCTGGGTTAGAAGTTAATCTATGGTTATTTTATTTCTGTGGTACCTCCAAGAGGCTTTTATTTCCATATAATGGGCCTAAATCCAGTTTAAATCTAAGGTTTTCTTGTCTCGGCTAATTCAAGAGTAAGAAAATTTATCAAATGTTTTTCTCTCCCATGCAAATTGTTTGTAGTTTGAGTTAAATTGTGAGGAGCTTGTATTTATTTGTTCTTGAGCCAGTTGTGTAACAAACTCTTAGTGGTAGCAAGTGGGCAACCAGTGAACCCCAGTGAGTCTTAGAATGGGTGTGACTTGATTTTGATGAGATTATCTGGAGTAGTGTGCTATGGAATGAGGTGAGATTTTGCTGAATTCTTTTGAGTTATTCTAAACAAGAATGTATTCCTTTAAGTTTTCTCCAAGATGTTTACTTCCTTTCTTGTACTATAACTTCTGAAGTCTTTAATTGTGTTTTCTCTCTTGCTTAATCCTTCATCCTGTTCACGTGCAAGCTGAACTCGTGTTCTGGGGGTTTCATTTTTAGCAAAGTGGTAAGTTTGAGAATTTATGACTATGTGCTTCCCCATTTCTCCCTGCTCCCTTAGCACATTTTTTTTTTTTTTTGGTGTCTTATCCTACAACTCCAGTCAGTCCTCCGGTGTATTTTGTATTCACTCAAAGATATCGTTACTCTTCTTTCCTGGAATCTGTGGAGAAGTTTTTCTGTAACAGCTTCTTCCTTCCCATCTCTGCTCTCTCTTCTTTTTTTCCTCCTGCCTATGGCAGAAAGAACAAGCTCACCACAATGGCAGCTAATAGAGGTAGCTCATACCCAATTTCGTCAGTTTTCATTACTTCTCTGAAATATATCTGGTGAACCTTTTCAGGTTCTCTTAACCGTGCTTGCAGTAATTGCAGCAGACTCCAGGGCACGCAGGTGACTGAGTCAGAAATGGGATGTGAGCCTGTGTATTGATCACAGTACAGAGAAACCTTTATCTCTGGATCACCCAGGCCAAGTAGGTATAGAACAAAAATTGTCAAGCAGAGGAAGACATCATGTTCCTGCTCTAGGACTGACAACACGGAGGTAGAATTAAGAACAGACAATTAACTTTTTATTTCAACGTTGTTCTCTAGGGTTAAACTTTTAAGAAACATTTGTTTCTCCTGGTTGGCACCAACAGCCATTGGACCTCTTGGTCTTTAGAGGGAGCTTATCTCTGGGGCAGTGTCTGTGGCAGGATGCTTTCTGCCGAGTGTTTGCAGATTAGCCCTGGCTAACTAGCTGCTAACACCAAGCACCTGCAGGACTGTTCCCTATGTCTGACCTGGTCACTCAGGTGTTCCTGGGTCTTTGGAGGGTCTGGTCTCCTCCCAAACACAGATTGCCCAGAGTGAAACAAATGATACAGCCCCGAGGTATTAACCCTTTTTAACCACTGACTGTAAAAGACCGAAAGGACAAGCTCACATGTTGAAGTCGAAACCAATCTGTTCTTTTCTGTCATCTCTAAGCTTAAAATTTAGCACAAGAAACTATAATCTTTCGCTGTTTGTTGCCCGTGGTGATATGTAGGTGTTAGTAAGAATAATAAGGGAAAATTTTGTATAAACCTGCTTTGTTGCACATGAGGGATGTGGATGTAATGGCCAAAAAAAGATGTTTAATAGGAAAATAAGTCATCAAAACCTGCAACAGCATCTATCAGCATATCCATTTTTGAGGTAAGAGAACCCGGTGTCCCTGTAGTGGCTCTTTACAGCGTTAACTTTAAGATCTGGGAGGTTCTGCAACAGCCTCCCATGAAAAGTGGCGGAGACCCTATTTCTCAGGCTTTAAAATTAGGCTGCAAGGTGGTGAATGTACATTAGAGAGTGGTAACTGAGAGGTTAATGTGGCTGAAAGAAATGGAAATAATAGACCTCTTCCATTTCTGAATTTTGCGAGGTAACTTCTAAGGTAACAATCAAATCTAATTACCTGATCAGCCTAAACACATAACTAGATTTCCTTCTTAGGCTTTCCCCATTAATGTGCCAGCTTCCTTTGCCATGAAGCACACTAACAAGTCTTACAAGTGCAGGTATATACGAGGTTTGGTTTTGTTTTATTTTATTTTTAGTCCTAACGGACATGTTATCATAGCCATCTCTCTGTTTTGAGTATCAAGTAGCTTCTGTTTTGCAACTTAAGCAGTATCTACAGATTTCTTGGGCTCTCACAAGCCTTTGTCTCCACTGTGGAAAGTCTTATTTCAAGTCTAGCCTGGGTTTGGAAAGAAGTTATTTAAATACCACGTTTTGATGTGACTTTTGATACATGAAGGAGCAGGCTCACTGTCACAGAGCTCTTATGAACAGAGGTAAGACTTAGAAAGGATCAGCTCTTTTTGCCCTTCTTGTGAATCCTGAAATTAGATTATTTTTTACTTGTTTGTCTTGTTTTGATTCACCTAGGTTGTTTCTGCATGCAAAAACATCTTTAGTGATTAGGGTGTCTGCTTATAGGTTTGTAAATATTCCAAAACAGCTTTCCAAAATACTGCACAGTCGTGAACACATGAGAAAACATTTTGACCTCTCCCCACTTATCTTGGCAGTCAGAGTCAGCGTACAGTGTCCAGGTAAATATGGAAAACACACCTTTTTGAGAAAATAAAGCTAATTTTCCCCTCATCCTGATATTTTTTTCCGTATTTGGTGATGCCTATTCCGCTACTGAGGATCAAGCTGTTTTGCTGAATTCCTGTGTACACAAGTGGGACTTGAAAGGGAACCTGGAATTGAGGCTGTAAGGAAAACTGCAGTATCTCAAGGGCAGGAATATTGATGAAACTATTCTCAATTGCAGTCAGTACAACTTGAGTCAGTGTAAATAATAAATTACTGATGGGCATGAGGGGTACAGACAGGATAGTCTAAGTTCCTGGAGACCTAAAACATCTGAGGCTGGAAATGTTGAAGATAATAGTAATTGCAGCTTCCGATTTTTCTTCCTGTGTTTTTTTTTTTTTTCTTGCCTACGTGTATGTTTAGTTAAAGGTCATGAAGAGATTTGTGACCATGCAAAAAAAAAAAATCAAATTAACCTCTCCTTCTTGCTTAGAAAAATCTTCTAGGGAACTGAAATGTAATAGGGTAATACCCTGATCTTTTTGCTATCAGTGCTTCTTCAGTTAAGGATAAATCACTGCAAGGCATTTAGTTTTAGTTTAGTAACTTCCATCTCATTTGTTAAACAGTGATGCAGTATTTAAGGCTGCCTGCGTACTTCAACAATTCGGGTGTTTTTAGAAAGTGCTCAGTGGTGTGAGAATAATGTTCGACATTTCGACTAATTCTCTCTCTGGCGAGAGACGTAGCATGCCCTTCAGTTTTTGCAACTCAGCTTGCTATGGAGAGGAAGAGAGATAATAACTGTCACGGATAAATGCGAGCAAATGTAAAAAGAATGGTCCTGTTGGCTCAAGCCGAGGGTCTGTGTATGAGAATAGTTGCTCAGGGCAACTTCTTACCTCTGTAAGAAGGTGGGCAATATCCTTGTCCTTCAAGTATTCTCTCCAGTCTTTTGACCAGAGAGAAAATAATCTGATTTCCTTTGGGGATGTGGAGTGGTGAGGGAATAGGTATATATTGGAATGTAATGGCTACGTAGGATTTCAGAGTTTGGAGTCGCTGGGTGTGGTGGGTTTTTTAATTATCTGCATTTGGTGTTGTTTTTTTTTTTTTGTTTTTGTTTTTTTTAATTTTATGAGCGTGAGCCTTAAGTTTCTAAAATGGCCTTTCTTTTTAATGCTTTCAAAATAAGGCTTTAAAACTCATGTTTTATCTTTTTCTCCTCCAAAGCAAAACGGTAAGGCAACATGTAAATTTTTTTTAAACTTCTAGCTATTGATCACATCAGGATTTCTGCCTAAGTCAGATATAAGGGTTCAAAAATCTGTTTAGAAATTATAGCAGCCAAATAGTGCAAAATCAAGGTGATTATGACTTGTATTCCAGCAGCGCAGAATTAATTTGAAATCACAGTCTTAGGGCACTGAATTAGACTAAGATTTTAGGCAGAAGGTTGGAATATGGTGGTAAGTCTCTGGAACAAAGATGTCTACGTAAAAACTGCTCAATTTGCCAAAGGAATTAGTTCAAAAAAACATAAATACTGCCACTATATGACACGTCTATCTTTATTTTAGAGCAGTAAGTCCCTAAATATAACATCTAGTGTGTTTCTTAGACTCTGAGGTACTTGCTTGTGTTGCTCACTAGACTCTGACTGTGAGTTTGAAGATGCAAAGAAGGTTTAGTGTAGTTGTGCTGTTGCACTTTGTCCCTGGAGAAGAGAGGTTTAGGATCAAGTAATTATTACTATTATTCATATGTAATGAGAATGGATGGGCCCTGACGCTGTCCTTTCTACAAAATACCACCTCTTGATCCTGCCTTTAAGTTAGGACTGGACGGGGAAAGGTGGACTGAGAAACTTCTACGTGTTCTACTAGGGCGATCATTGGGGTAGTGTAGACGGCTGCAGCAGTAACTCCTCACGCTTCATCAGCCAGAGGTGCCTGGTGGTCCCTGGTGACAGCCTTAGCCTGTCTAGTTGAGTCTCTCAGATCATCTTTCGCTCCTGCTATAGTCTTGCTAAGAGCTTCCTCAGTGTGGCAATTGTAGTCCTAAATATGGCTTCCCCTTGCTGAAGTTGCTGCAAGTTAAGAGGAAGCATGAGGGCTGGACTGACAAATAGCATAGGGATTTGGGGTTCAATAAATCGAAGCAGGTTAGAATAATAAAAGCCAGATGAAAGGCTGCAAAAATCTTTGAAGGCCATTGGAAGTACATAGGAAATATAACTTTTTTTTTTTTTTTAAATTTAAAAAAAGCCTGAACTTCCCAAAGAACAAAAATGAAACTAAACCATGAATTATTCAGTAGTAATAGATGACATCTCCGGTTTTGGAGGCTGTGGCTGCCTCAGCAGTGGCGTTAGTCTTTGGCTGCTCTGGCACCTCTTCTTCCTTCTCTGCCAACCCACCCAGAGACCCCAAGGGGAAAGTGCTTTCACAATCCTGAGTTGACCACACCTGCGAAATGACAGGCATTTGGACAGAGGAGTTGCTTTCAAAGCCACGCTCCCCTAGCTCATACTGCCTGAGGGTCTCTTCTTGTTCCTGGTTTAAGTAGTCCGGTACTAGTAAGTCGCTGTGCTTCAGGTGATGTGTCTTCAGCGTGTAAGCTCGGGTGAACTTTTTCCCACAGCGGTCACACTGAAATGGTTTAACGCCTGAGTGGATAGATGTGTGTTGTTTTAAGTGCTGCATGCGAATGAAGCGGGCCCCGCAGGTTGGACACTGAAAACGTCTGTCTGGACCATTTGGGCTGGGTCTCTCTGTGCGATCATCATCATCTGCATGAGCGTTAGTGCCAGAGGTACGCTGGAGTGTGGGTAATCCCTCCGTAACCCTCTCATCTGTTGAGCCTTTCGAGGAAGACTGTGGGCTGATCAGGAGATCTTCCTGCACTTGCTCGCTTCCCGGGACTGTCTGCTGATCGCTCAGCCAGCTCTGGGATGCGCTAACAGGCTGCGACACCTCCTTGTGAACCTCCTTGTCGCTTAACCTTTCCACTTTGACGTGCACGTCTTTTTCGATCACGAGGGGAGAGCTGGCTTTTGTGCTCTCACAAGTCATGTAATCTGCAATTCTTCGGTTGGACTCGGAGGGCCCAGGCGTTTCCAAAGTTCTAGAGTTCTCCGCCTTCTTCACCTTCTCAGACTGAAGCCTCTGATTGATTCCGAAAGGGAAAGTGCAGGGAAAAGCTAAGGACGAGTCCACGGGCTGATTTAGAGACTCGGGGTAAGAAGTTGAAGGATTCAGCACTTGGGGGGAGCTCGTTTGCGTGTTGCACTTAAGGGGGCTCTTGGGAGACATCGCTGTGTAGCTTTTGCACTTCCTCTGCGACTTGCGGCCAACGGGAATCGTTCTTTCCACCACGGAAGAAGCCAGGGAAAGGCTGCCGCCTGGAGAAGCAAAATTGCTGTTTGCGTTGCTCTCCTGCCCTGCATCCGGCCCCTTCTCCTGCGGGCTGTTGGGCGCATTCCACAAAATGCTGGACTTCATCAATTCCGAGCACGTGCTGGCGACACCGAACATCTGCATGTAGCTGGCTGCAGCCAAC